TTTCCCTACTTGGGCAGGGGGTGAATTCAAGGCAACTCACCAATAATTAGATTCTATATCTGGAAAATTATAACAAATTTATACAAATTTTATATATATAGAATCTAATTATGGGGGAGGGTCATCTTAGATTTAAATACATATGGTACCTCTTAACACATCTGCCCACAACCTCCTGTCAACTGTGCTCTGAAGTGACTGGTGGAAAAGGTACTGAGCAGCCTGCAGCATGTCGAGTCCTTGCCACAGCCCTACAACCAGACCCAGTTCCACTGCACTGACGGGAGTCTGGTTTTCCACCTGCTGTTGCCCAAGTCAAAATGCTTCTGTAAAGGAGCAGAGCAGCTGTTCCATCCAGAGGGGCTTTCGGCGTGAGCTGCCCCTCTGGCTCACTGACCTCATTCTGTCTTCAAGCAAGGCGATGAGCTAAGTGATTTCTTGAAGTCCCTTTCTACAGTAGTTCAGTTCGCTCAAAGAGTTTACTCTGATTTTAAAATCATGTCTTGTATCTTCCAGCAGCTTTCTCTGCTGCAATATGTGTGTTCCCGTGAATAATCCATCTCTTTGGGAAACTTGCCAGGAAAAATCCTCAAGAAAACTTTTAAATATTTAAGTTCTATGTTTTATACAGGGTTGTTATTTTTTTTCCCCTTCCCATACCTGGTACCAGCATAAACAGAGCCCCCTCCCTGCTTCACCTTGCCTTCCTTTTTTTTTCTTCTTTTTTTAGGGTTTTAAATTTCTTTCTTCTTCCTATCCTGCCCTGGTTATATGAGAAGTTGTGAAAAGGAAAAGTGTGTGTTTGGTGCAGGAGGTTCTGGGTGAAAATGTAAGTGCCCTGGAGTATTTGACTGGAGACACCAGAGACTTTAAAAGGGACGTTGCTATTTTTTCTTGTTCTTTAACAAATGATTATTTGAGCATGGCTGTTTTCAGAACCAGTTATTTAAATTCTTGTGATCCACTAGATTCCCAAAATGTTACCGTGGAAAGTCTTTGCAGTTGCTGTTTACTACAAACTCAAGCAGGGTTTGTAGTAAAATCCCCTGAAGAGAAGGGTAGGTGGCAGATGAGACTCATGTGGAGAAGTCATAAACTCAGGAGAGGTATAAAGATGGCTTTAAAGTACAGGTCAAGCAAGGTGAGCATAGATCTGGGGACCTGTGTGCATAGCAGCAGTTGATGAATAACCCCCAAGGACCTTGTTGAACTGCAGAGCTTTGTTACCACATTTAGCATTTGAATGATTTCAAGCCTTCAGCACAGCTCTGTTGCACAAGAATTTGCGTTGCCCTTCCAATTACACTAGCTCTGAGTAGATGCGTCTGTGGCTGCTTCTTGTTCAGCACCCCCTCATAGTCGGGTATGATTGTTTTATCTGTGGGTCTGAAGATGACTGATGAGACCAATCTGGGATCAACAGACTATGTTGCAACTCGGGCATATGTTTCTGGGCAGAGTGGATGGCTCTGGATGCTTGATTAGGTCTGCAAGACTGATTTGGACCGAGTCTGTGGCTAGCACTGGTGTGGACAGCTATGCATATACTGCAGCTGTAATGGCATAGTCAGTCTTCCTAGTGCCGTCTCACTCTGCAGTGGTCATGTGGGTGTGGGCAGCACTGCTCCTGGCCCTGCCTGCCTAGCAGCCGCTCGGGGTAGCTTGCACACATGCAGAGTTGCAAGTGCATGGTTCTCTAGTACCAGCCAACAAGATGAGACTCTCCATTAGCTCCCAGAGTCATAATGCGACTGGGTCTTTTCTGAAGCCTGTGCTTGTTGTTATCCACAAATCCTTTTACAAACCCGAGTGACTGGCTGTCGTCTTTGCAATCTCCTTCACATTAGCGGTAGCAAATTTGCCCAGTGAAAGAATCCCAGTGCCAGGTTAATGATGCAGATGACTGGTTGAAATAAGATTTGCTTAGCTAGAGAAAAAAGCCTGAGTAAAGCTGAGCACTGATGTCTTTCTTGCCTGTCTCCTGATTCACTTTCCTTGGATGACTTGCAGAACGAAAACCAAAGATATAGGAAACTTCAGGCTGTGTGTGTAGCCAAAAAAACTCCTGTGCATGAAGGTCAAATGTCGGGGATTTAACTTGATCTTCCGTGCTGAGGTTGCTCTCATTAAAGTGGTCACAGATTCCCATCCACATTTGTGGACACTAGGGGATGGTGGCTGTTGAGCTCCTGTTGGGGTGTGTTGCCTCTTGTTCCCAACAACACCTGTTACTGAAATGTGTCTGCACACCCCAGCCACGCATTATATGCAGTGGGGGTACAAATTGGCACAGTTTGCTAAACTCCATGTGGTTCAGTGTCCACTTGTATTGGGCTGAATTTGGCCTTGTGTTCCTGTAATGGAGCCTGGGGCTTGTGTTACTTTGAGAGAGAGACTGCAACAGAAAGAGCCCCAGGAAGCTGAGCCAGAGTTCATTGCAGGAGGGAAGGTGGCAAGGAAGCAACTGCAGCTTAGGCGCAGTAAGCTGCCCATGAAGATGAGGGAGCATACCTGCAGCTAGTCGAGAGAAGACCTGAGCAGAAGAAGAGGAGCCTGGGGATATAAGCCTGAGTCCCTGAGGCAGAGGGGCAGTGTAGCCCTGATCTCTGCAGAGTTGCTCATGCCAGTTCAGGCTGGCGTGGAGCGGGAGCTGCAGGCCATGGCAGGTAGTGCCAGGGTGGGGAGATTCAGAGTCGGAAAGTGGCCTGGCGTTGGTATGACGATGACTCAGAGGGGGGACTTTGAGTTTAAAGTGGTTGCTTGAAGTTTTGTTCTAGTTTGTACCGGAGGACTAGATGTGGCTGTAGGGGTGGAAGGGAGGCCATAGAGGTGCCTGAGGGGCACATTAGGTCAAGCCCTGCCAGGGGCAGGAGTGGAAGGCACAGGCAGGCTGAGGCCAAGAGGGCCAGGACCTGAGCGCAGAGGGGAGCAAGTGGCTAACAAGAGGCTGAGACTGGAAAGTCCAGGCCAGAGCCAGTGGGCCTAGGCTACCAGTCAACAGGTAGAGTAATCTGTGGGCTAAGGCTAAGAAAGCCGAAGCCTATACAGAAAGGCAGGTGGTGACCAAGTGACATCTGCGAGGCATGGGTATGGGGGCATCAGGAGACCACAATCGAGCTTTAAGGGTTAAATAAGGTCCATTTGGGGCATAGGTGGTGACCTGCGGCTCACAGTGCCAGCTGGGCACCAGTAGACGTACTGGTGGTGGAGAGAGACGCTCGCAGAGAACAGAGTAGTGGGGAGTTAACAAGCCAAGGATCCAGACACCCTGAGGGGTTGCTCGGATCAATAGAGGACAGTCAGAGCACTCCAGGACTCGGGCAGCCTCCCAATTAATAAAAAGGAACATCATGGCAGGGCAGGTGAGAAAAGTGGGGATTGGGAGGGATTTACATAGAGAACCCGGAGGGCAGGAAGGATTAGGGTGACCCTAGCAGGGTACCACAACCCCCAGTGCCTGTCCTTCACATTTCCCTGCTCCCCCCTCCTTCTTGATGTCCAAAGGGATTATTTTTAGCTGGTTTGGGCTCTGAAAGTAACTGATCTGAGGTAGTACTCACTTATTGTGTGGTGCAGAACCGGAGACAGTCTTTGTTCCACAGCGTTCATGTTCGTAGTTTATCACTCTGCATTGAAAAGAAAAGAAGTCTCTCTCTCTCTCTCTCTCTCTCTCTTCAGGTCCTGTACAGAAAAAAAAGAGGATTTAGAGGGGCAAAATGGAAGCTGCTTTCTTTGTATGCTAGTTTGCTCTTTGCAGTGCATACAGGGCTCTAAAAAGGGCGAGAACAAAGTCGCACCCATTTGGAACTGCAGAGTGAACTTGGCTCGTGGGAAGCTAATACATTCGATTGCTGTTCTTCACACATGGTTTGCCATTGCTGGCTGAGAACTCCCTATCCCCAGATGAACTGCAGCACAGCTCCATACTTGTTAGTCTCCTTTTTTCAGGGACTAGCTTGGAGGAGGATGTGTTCTGTGAACCCGTGGGGCTCCCCAGGTAGAGGCCATGGAAGCCCCTCTTCCTAGCTCACCCCGTTCCTCCTTAGCAGGCTGAGCGCTGTGCTGTGCTAGCTGACTTAATGGAGAGCCTGTTAAGCAGGAAACCCTCAAAATGTCTTGCAGTAAGTGCCCAGCAGTACTAACACAGAGACATTGTTCTGGTGAGAGGGGGCAGCTGTCTGTCAGTACGGTACTATTTTTGCCTCTGTATGTTGGTTTTTTGCTCCTTCAGTCAAAGCCTCCTTCTTTTACCCACCTTGATTCAAGGAGACCTTCCTTGATTTGATGGTGGCTGCATTGGACTCCTTTCATTGTGACTCTTAGCTTGGCGCAGAGTGACAAGCCTTTTCACCACGTTCCCTTTGCAGCTCTGCCGACTCCTGTCAGGCCATGGAGAGAGGAATAAAAGCCGGAGTCCAGGAGGTGAGGTCTTCTCTTGAGCATGGCAGCATGGAGAGTTCTTCCCAGGGCTGTAAAGCTTGCCTTGGTGTTTGTCCACTCCCCTTTCAGGAAACTACACTTAAACCTGGATAGAAGAGGGAAGTGTAACTGCCAGATGTGCATGGTCTAGGCACAGCTCTGTTTTCAATGACTTTCTCCCTCGCATTGCCAGCTGTCTCCAGAGAATGCCTATGAGGTGCTGTGTGTAGCAGACATGTACCTGTTGCCGGGGCTCAAACGTCTGTGTGGGAGAACCTTGGCTCAGACCCTTGACGAGGATAACGTTGTGAACATCTGGAAGATTGCAAAGCTGTTCCAGCTGACCCGGCTGGAGGACCAGTGCACGGAGTACATGGCAAAGATCATTGAGAAGGTACCTGAAATCTCTCCCTAATATGTTTTGGGTGTGGTCATTCAGTGTGCAAACACATTTAAAGCTTCACATTTAAAGGGCTACTTCTGAAGCCCTTGGGTCATGAGTTAATTGAATTTGGCAGTATCACCATGGTCCTTCTTAGCCAATTATCCATCACGTACAGCTTGATACAACCCCTAGAAAGGAGGACAGATGAGGAATAGCCCAGGGCATTGCAGGTAATGCTGCTGATATGCATTGTCAGTGTACCTCAGCTAACTTCAAACTACCTGCCTTAGTTGCCTGCCTTTGGCACTCAGTGCAAGTCTCAGAACCTGCCTGAGAAGCACAGTAAGTACTGGGATGGGGAGCTCTCGCTGAGACCTATGCTGCTGCAACTTGCAGCATATACAGACATTTTCTCTCCCAGGAGAAAGTCTCTTGGGAGTGATTTAACCCCGGTTGTTCCTGGGTTATTTTTCTCTTGGAGCAGCCATTGTTTACTTTCCTGAACGTCTGTATGCTCATGGTTTCTTCTTGGAGAGCAGCAACTCTCCCAGAAGAAACTGATTGTCTGTAGAAAGCTGTGGCTGCTACCAGTACCCAAGCTAGGAACCCTGAACCTACTCCAGGTATGTCTGCTGTGCACTGGAGTCACGTGACTGCAGAACAGATGTGTCCTGAAGTGCAGCGGGGAGCTGTGTGCTCAGAGCAGCGTTGACTTGTGCTCCATTTGGCTCTTTCCTAATTCTGGATGCAGCAGTGAATTAATATGCACCCCGAGAGCCAGCAAAGGACTATAGCGGTAGTAACTGAGCAGTTCCATGCCCTGGGCAGCAGTGGAGCAGCTACTGTTTTGTGCCCCTCCCTCCTTAATTTGGCAGTGAGGGCTGGTCCCTGATCACACACCCTTAGTTATGCTACTATATGAAGTTCCCTTTGGGAGAAGTTTGCTGATCCTCATCAATTGCTATCAGATCTTATTATACTGGAATTTCATTTCCAAGGCTCTATTGTTCTGTGTTGCGTGTTCGCGTCGGTTGCCCGTTTCTTCTGTTTGCAAAGATCCAGGAGTCTGTGACATCTGCAGAGAGTCTCCATACGGCAAGGACAGACTGGATTCTACCTAGGTATTTGTGCCTAGGCAGGTCACTGTTTTATAAGTGTTTTTAATTAACACTCCCACATGAGCTGTAACAATTTTTACCTGCAGCTGAGAGGCTGTGAGAAAGGCGTGAAATTCTTTTTAGCCTGTGGAAGCAACAAGGAAAATAACTTCCAAATGGTTCCTCCTTGCTCAAAAGTACCATTTCGGTACAAAGGAGAGAAAAACGCCTTGGTGAAGTTTTAGGATTGGCTTTAGGGAGAAGGAGTTGTTTGACCCCAGTAGGAAGGAGTGCTAGAATCGGTGATTAAACTGGATCCCTGCTGTGGGAGGTTGTCTGTGAAAAGAATTTTAGAGCATTTCCCCATCATTTGTTCCTAGCACCATTGTTAAGTCTAGGGGAAGGCAGCAAGAGGGCATCAGCATTATAAGCGCAGAGTCGTCTAGCAGCGCTCAGAGCTGGTCAAAGTGACCCAGGGTTTATAAAGCCAGCACTTTACTACTGTGGCACTTTCTACTGGGGAGCTGAATTGGTGCTGGCAGCAATGAGAAACTCTTGGTAAAACAGTGCAGCGTGGGCCAGGCATAAGGTGCTGTTTCAGAGCAGACAGTTCTTGTGTCTCTGCCATAGACAGAAGCTCTTCTCTTGCTCTTGTCTTTCTTAGCATAATTTTTTGGCTGGTGTTCTTTCTTGGTGGTGAGGGAAATGCTCAGAAATAGTGTAAATGGTGCCCGATCACTCTGGTGCGGGACTGTTCTTCAGGGGATATTACAGAAGGCAGCATTTGGGGTGCAGCTGTCCTGAAAAATCCTGTTAGGCTCTTTTTAGAAAAATTGGAGTCATTTCAGTGGTGGCTGCAAATCTCGGGCTTGGCAGTCCTGGAGACTGAAGCCTTAGCGCAGAGTGGCTTTGGCCGCAGAACAAGCTTTCTCCAGGCTGGCCCTTGTTGCTGTTCCTGCCCTTACCCTTTGACACGAGGGAACAGAACTTGGTTCCGTTCAGTAAAGTCCTTTGCAAAAACAGCTGGCTGTCTTGATGAGAGCATAAGGGCACTTCCCCATCTTCCTCCTAGTTCTTCCTAATGGCCATCTTGTTTTCCATCCTTCCAGCTAGTGGAGTTGGAGGGTGAAGGAGAAGGCCGAGGCGGTGGAGGAACGGCAGGAGACGGATTCCATCCCTCTCGTTGATGACATCCGCTTCCACATCACCAGCAACGTGCAGACTTACAGTGCCATCGAGGAGGCCAACCAGAAACTGGAGGCACTGGAGGACCTCCTGGCCAGTATAGGGCTCGAGTGCTGAAGTCTGAAATCTGGCCTGTCACGTGCAGTGAGCGGCTCGCACGGCCCCATGCTGGTGGACTCTGAGTGCAAGAACATTTGTGTCTTAGTCAAATGTTTGTCTTTATTTCTCTCCTCCTTCCCACCCCCTGCCAGGCATGGCTTCCTTTTAACTTATTCATGTCTGGACATTTGCATGTTTATTTTCCAGGATAGGATCCCAAAGTGCCCCAGCTCCACAGTTACTGCTTGTACCATCCTGCACTGATATGTGGCTGCAAACCCTAAGGGTAACAGAGTTGTACTGTAGGGGCTTCAAACCAGAGCATTTTTTCCCCATTACCACCTGCAAGGGAACCGAACTGGATTAAACTCGGTGTGAAGGAAATTCTTAGAAATAACCAGCTTGTCTTTCCCTTTCACTGTCCTGGGGTGATAGCAGAAAAAATGGCATTTCCTACCAGGGCCACAGGAATGTTCTCACAGGAGGCACAAACTGTCTGCACACGCTGCTCCTATTTTTGTGCACAAACAACTAAGTTAGTGTACAGTGCTGCTTGTTTTGGGTTTTTTTTTCCTTGCCTCCAAACTGGCACTTAGATTTGCATGCTCAGGGTTGTGCATGGGAATTCAGGTTTTCAGTCCATGTTCTGGCACATTGACACTTTTCTTGGTCAAGGCAAATGGACTCCTGATATATCTTTTCCTGGTATTGTGTACAATGTGCAGCTTTGGAAGCCAAAAGTTTTAGCTTCTGAAAAGGAACTGAGAGAAGTGCAAAATAGACCCGCAGCAGAAAGAGACAGCCTCCTAAGGAGCCAGCAGCTTTTCATTTGCACTGAAATAGAGGTTCTGCCTTTTGTGCCTCTCTCTTGGGGAATAAATGTCTTTCCTCTCAGAGCTGGCACTTCTGTTGGCCTGTTGTGTCGGGGTGAAGGTGAGACTTGTCAGGCAGGGGGGTGGGCTGGTAATTTAGAAAAGGAAAAGGGAGACTTTCAGAATGCCTCAATCCATCTCTTTTGCTGTCTCACCTTTTGACTTTGCTTAGGTTATAAAAACCTTGAAGCTCATTGTTCTTCAGGAAGCTCTCTGTTTGTCTTGAATGTGTTTATGGAGGCTTCTTCCCCCGGGGGGATAATGTTATCTTTCAAGAGTCTGGTCTCCCCTTGCCTTCCAGTGTGGGATGAGGCTGTTCTCTCTCCTCACCAGGCAGCAGGCAACGTTCTTGTATAAAATACACCAAATCACTGGGACTTGTTCTTGGAGCTGTTCTAGTGATGGAAACTTAGAATTGCCAAGGATTTTGCAGAGCCCTTTGTCAGCAAGGCTCTTTGGGATTATGTGCTACAAAAGTCTTGATTGTTCAGAAGGAAAGGATGCTTTTTTGCAGTATCTTAAGCATTGGAGGGAATAAACTGGGCTGCATGAACTGCTCGGGAAGCCTTGTACTAACAGTGCTGCCATCACTGATGGATGTGGCTGTTCTATAATAATTACACGAGTCATTGTGTTTTTAATGTTTGGAGGTGATATTGCTTGCTTAGATGATTAAATCTGGGCTCCCGTCTGCTCCTTTGGCTGTTTCTAGGAGCGTTCTTCCAACATAAGTTCAGGAAGGGGTTTAAGTTCCCTTGCATAGGATGGGTTGTGCTGTCTTGTGACTTATGCCTTACACTTTTGAATCTGCAGGCCTGACTTCTGAAATGGCTCAAGTAGTTGGTGAAAGTGCATGGGGTCATCCGGGTGTAGCTGTGATTATAAAGTTGCCACAGAATTTGACCAGTAGACTGCTCCAGAGCAGCTCAGTGTTGGTGAAAGAGCAGGTGCTGCCTGCCAGGTTTGAAATGCTGTTCAAGCAGTTCCTGCTTCCATTTCTGTTTGCAACACCCATGTCAAAACACAGGGAGTTTTCTGGTTTGCTCTCAGCAAGGGTGAAGCCTGCAGCATGTTGGGTTTGGAAGAGTGACGTACATTTGTGTTCTGCTTGGTTCGTTGCTTGGAGCGCTTCGACTTTTGTACTCACCGTGCAGCTGGTGAGAACAGAATGAGGAGGTTCCGCGAGGCTAAATGACCAGAGCTGGTGAAGGGTGTCTCGGCTGAGACCCGAGTTGGAACGAGTGATACTAAAACCTTTATTTTTGTCGAGCGAAGGAATGGTGGTGTCCCGCCCTTTGTGAGGTACTGGGTTCTTCAAAGATTTGCCTAAGAAACTTATTAGGCCAAAATGATGAATCCCTTCACCAGGCTAGTTCAGTTATGTATTTCCCTTCCCTCGATTGCTACAAATGACATGAAATATATACAGGTTGATTTTAGTTTATTGACTCCTCTTGGCTTCTGCTGCATAAATTCCCCTTCTTGCAATGCTACCATCCTTTCTTGCTCACCGATGGTCACGGGCCATTGACTTAGATGGAGCAGCACAAGCATGGCCTTGGCCTTTGACCTCAGAGCATGGTGGGTTTGGGAGTTTGGTGGTGAATGAAATCCAGAAATGGAACTGTTGAGAAACGTGCTCCCACTTTCCTCTGTAGGGGTCTTTACTTTTTAAAATGAGGACAATGGTGTGGGACCGGGTTAAAATAGCTGAACTACTCTGAAATATTTTCTATGTGACCACCAGTATGTGTTTCCATTCCTGTATCTTTAAATGTGGAGCCAACAAGGATATAATTATTGCAGGATAAAAGGTCAGTGGGGCTTTCTAATTGTCCTGGGAATGCAGTTCCTCACGAACTGTCAGCATGCCAAGAAGATTCAGAAAATATTGTAGTTTTGCTTGCAATTTTTGGGGCAAAACCTCTGAACCCAACTGGATTGTCCAGTCACTCAGAGCATCTTTCAGTTCCTTGCCATTGCAAAACAGGGTTATGAAGAAACGCAGATAAGCAACTGCTTAGCATACAACCAATTTTTTACCTGGTCAGACTCACTCTATTCTTGATGGTTGCAAATAATTTTATTACGAGGTAAATTAGTTATTTTTTTCTTCTATTGTGTGTGTCCTTTTTTTGTGTTCCCTATTGTGTGTTGTCCCTGTCCTTTTTATTTACCATTAGCCATTGGTTGAATTAAGGAGACTGTAAAGTGTATCAGAGCAGCAATATATTTAAAAATTGTAATGTGTAAGCATGTGTGCAGCAATAAAAAAATATATATTTCACTATGTCTCGGTGGCAGCCTATTCATTAGTGATCATGATGACTTCTGCCTGGCTTCAGCTCTGAAGGGAATTGGCTGGTTTATTCAGCTCACATCTCCCCACCCAAAAACTTGGCTCTTAAGCTTTTTTTTGAACCCAAGGTCACTTCATGAGATGCCATGAGAGTAGATTAGCCTTAGCTCCTTTATATGCAACTGGATGGTGGAAATACTATTTCTGTGGCAAACAGTACTGACCTAACTTGCAAAGGTGTCTAATACCCACAACCCCATTTGACTTCAGTGAGTGTAAAGGATTCCCAGCCCCTTTGGTTCCAAGTAGCTGTTGATGAGACTATGCAGCGTTCCTTGGAAAGGCTGAAACTGGCTGCTGGGGACCTTGCTTGGAAAACTTCAGGCAATAATCAGAGTTTAGTTTGTGACTTGCACCAACAGAACGACAGTGTCCTTAAGATGACTGTTTGTGGTGGAGGTGGAACGTTGCTGAGACCCCGGAGTAAAAGCCATGAATCCAGTTATCTTTCAGAAACTGGAGCTGTTGGCGTTGGTGTATTTATGGTCAGGATCGTTGACTCTAAAAATGGCACCTTCCCACTTAACAGATCTTCTTCACTGTGTGTTGACAGGCTCATCTGGTCTATCTATTGACATGACAGTAAGTTTCTTTCTTCTCTCCATCATGCTCTTGTTAGCTCTGCAAAGTCCAGATAGTTCTGGTAGCTGCATACTATTTCTGTTCATGCTTAGTTACCAGTTCTGCCAGTGAAGAAGCAGTTCTTCTGGTTGCAGAATCTTTGCTGCTGATGAGGTGGATGTCCCAACAGGTCTCCTTCTGGGCACTGGCAGGACAGTTCTTTATGTAAGTGAAGCAGATGTGAAATGGCAATCCTGAGACGAGATAGAGCCTGCTACAGAACTTGCCTGTTGAAGCAGAGCTGCATTTTAAAAAGGGCTCTGTGCCTTTTCAAGCAGTTGCTTTGTCTCGGAGCAGTGGTTTTCAACCTTTTTATTTTCCATTTGCAGACCCCTAAACATTTCAAATGAAGGTGCAGAGCCCTTTGAATGGGAAGTGTGGGTATTCACATACTTTTGATTGATTATAGTAATTTTTCGTGGACCCCTTTAGAGAGAGCCTGCAGCTCCCCCACCCCAGGGGTCCATGGACCACAGGTTGAAAGCCACTGTCCTAAAGGAAAGGCCAAGAGACAATGAGTGAGGGAAACTAAATCTGCCCAGTGGTGGAAATGGCCCGTCAGGGTAGTTGAACACTGGAGGAGGAATGCATGAAAGGGAGACTGCGTAGTATACAGTGGCACCTTCTGGATGTACCTGTGTCAATTTTATACTAGCTAGCCCAGGGGTGGGCAAAATGCGACCCATAGGCCGCACCAAGCCATTCTCTCTGGCCCATGGGGCCCCTAAAAATTTTAGAAAATTAATATTAATCTGTCCTGGGCTGTCATGCAGCCCTCGATGACTTGCCCAAACTCAGTAAACAGCCCTCCGCCCAAAATAATTGCCCGCCCCTGAGCTAGCCCATAGTGATAATGCTGTAGCCATGACAGTGCAGTACTTACTGTGGGCTAGTTGCCCTAGTATTTTATTCAGAGCCCCAAGAGGCCTTGTACCCGTGGCTTTGCAGGATTTTGCCCAGGCTACGTTTCCCTAAATGCACTAGTTTAAAGCTGGGGGCTGGACTAAATGACCTGGTGAGTTCCCTTCCAGTCCTATTTTCCTGTGAGCCT